AGTGTCTCTGCCATGATTCGCTTTTGGCTTTAAATACTCGGGTTTTGATAAATGAGAAGTGCAGTTTCCTAGAAACAGCTCTGTCGAACGGCAGTTTTTTGAGGACGATAGGAAGAATAAAGACAAGTTGAGGTGGATCTGCAGTGTTTAAGCGGACGGCATCGCTCGCTGCTGGAAGCCAATAAGGCCGGGTCAAAAGCAGATGCACTCTCGGGTAGCTAACGAGCGGCCCTGGGCGCCGTCAGGTACGTACGGCACGGCAGCTGCACGTTTCCTTGGCAAACGCTGGCGTTCCCATGGCAAGTCTGTTAAAACTGGCGTTACCATCTGAGAAACAAACCCCTTCCGATGAGGTGGGATGCTGAAGCAGTGACAGGTATTTGTACTGTGTTAAACACTTTAAAAAAGAAGTGTCACAGAAGGAACTCTTTGTAATGTTGTACATGTCTCTTGCAGGGTAAGCTTTTTGACTCTACGGTAACTGACGAAGGAACATGGACCTTAGGTAATGACCCACACCTGCAGTGACATCACGAGGGCAGTACAACATCTCAAAATAAGCTGCAGAGGAGTGTACCCCCTTTTTCTTTTTTTTGGGAAAGATTACTTCTTTCCCTGTACATAGCTTTCTAAAAAAAGACAATCGTTACTGCCAGACTAAGGAACTGAGGTAGTACAAAACCCATAAAGATTCAGCTTAATGGGAAGATGCTGCATCTTGGAAGGTTGGAGTTTGTGGATTACAAACACTGCCATAGAGTGAGAAGGTTTTTGCAAACCCTTGTTAGAGCTAGACATGACAGTAATGTGATCTGTGCCTCTCCATAATTGTTACTTTTCTTGGTTTTTCTACTTCTCTTACACATTATATTTTAGGTTAGGTGACATTATATGCATTATATTTTTGGGATGGCTGAGAAAACCTACAGCATCCAAAAATCACACAAAGGTACCGATAATGAGCAAAAAACCTCTGATCGTTACATCATACATACTGTAAAGTGTTCAGAACATCTGGGGTTTTGTTAATACTCTTTGGGCAGGGTGCTTGTCACTTCATGTTTTCCTATGATGGATTTTGTTGTCAATATTTAAGTATCAATTAATAATTTAGTAACTTGAACATGAAAACTGGATGCGTAAGCAAACATTGTGAAGTGAAGCCTACTCTTCTTCAATATGTGCATTATCTTCAAAATACACCTTATAATGCGGTCTTTACCGAATTAAGTAGAATTAAACACACTACATATTACCTTTGAAATGTACTTCCAATGCATTTTCTATAGGCATACTGTCTGTGTTTACATAAATTGCTTATACCACCCTATATTGCTAAAACTTAGTTCTGGCTGTTACTGGTAATAACTCTGACCTCAAATCCTTCATTATTGCCTTAGCTGAGCTGTATATATTAGTAGATTAAATCTTTCCTCTGTTGTGAACCTCTCTAAAAAGCTAGTTTATGTTTGCAACAAAAGAACTTATGAACTGTGTTTTAGATCCTTAAAACAGCTTCAGCATTTTACAGACCAGAAAGGGGAGAGATGGCTGTATTAGGCCACAGCCTTTCTGTTTCTTGTTGATGTTTATTTATCAACATCCCTGTTGGCATTAAGAATTTAAGTTACTTCACCAAAAAAACCTGTACTTGTTGAGAGGGAATTCACCAAAACAATGAAAAAGACTAGCACATAAGGACTGAGTGTAGTGGTGGGTCTATGTGTCTGTTTTCATTCAACAGAAGACAGGAAGCTGATACGAATTGTTCTGATGAAGACAAATCGAGATGCTGGAAACTGTTGGACATCTCTGTTGGAAAATGAGTATGCTGCTGATCCTTGGGTACAGGACCAAATGCAAAGGAAACTTACGCTGGAGCGATTCCAAAGAGAGGCAAGTTAAAGGGATATAATTACTCCTTGTGTTGTGTTTGCACACAGAGGTTATGGCCAGGAAAGCTGAGCAAAATCGTTCTGCTGTCCAGTGCCATGGAGATATACTGCAAGCCGATACATACAGAATGCTCACAGGGCCTTTTCTGTGTCCTTTCAAGAGGTTATTCTGTCTGTAGTCTGCCAGGGTTTTGTGAAAAGTGAAGATGCATCGGGTGGGGTATTGCTGGTTTAGGGTTTGTTACGTAAGAGTAACAGCTTGTCACTTAAGTTAGGCTACTCCCAGTTTCTGTCACCTACAGCTATGTCATCGCCCTATCTACCCCGCACACCAAGCTCTGTTGGGTGTGTTTTTTTATAACATCACATAATGTAGAATATTTAGCTGGGGAATATTTTCCTTGCCCTTGTACTGAAATTGCTTGGGTACACCTCACGCACACAGCCGTTCCCATGCAAGTCTGCGCAGTTGCAGGATGACAGCTTATTACTTGACAGCTGAATTGGCACACTACGTACTGCAACAAGGAACAGAATTTTTAGGAATCTTGTTACCCGGTGTGGCAGGTACTTAGATTTTCAAATAGCAATTTTAAGGGATACCAGAAGCCAGAATTTTTTCTTAAATTTCCCCTAACATTTCTTTACTGGGAGACCTAGCTGCTCTCCAAATTGAGACCAGCATTACAAAGTCACTTCAGCAGTAAGCAACCGAACTGTGGTGACTCGTTGTGTTTACCAGAAACTTGAGGGCCGTGACACGTGGATGATAAGTAGGTTACTCTATGCCTTCGTTAGAATGGCAGAATATGAAGAGAAACACTTTGGGGCTTTTTGTTTGTTGGTAGTTTTGGGGCGGTGGGGAGAGGGTTTAACATTTTAATGGGTAGATTATTCCTAATAAAAGTTTTATCTCCATCAGAACCCTGGATTTGACTTCAGTGGGGCAGAAATTTCTGGAAATTACAGCAAAGGAGGACCGGACTTTTCTAGTCTTGAAAAGTAAACTGTTTTTATCTATGCTCTTTGTGAGGAATGACACGTGACACTGAAAAGATTGGAATGGTAGCTGGTGAAGACTTTGGTCATCTCTTCAGCGGATTGTTGTCAAGTAATTACTTCAGTGGAGAGAAGGAAGATCTCTTCCAGTAGAATGAAGACCAAGTGTTACCAGCTGTTTTATAAGCTGCTATAACTTCGTAATACTGAGGCACAAGCAACAGTGACGTACACCAAAAAGTAGCATCTTTTAAGCAGCATGTTGGTCTTGTGGTTTTTTTTTTTGAAACACCGGAGTAAACTAGTTATAAATATACCACTTGTCTTTATGCAAAAATACCTTACTCACTGTTAAAGAATAGGTCTTCGAAGCAAGTTATTTAATGTTTTTTCTTAACTTGCAACAGGAAGGCTATCAGGATGGCTACAGTTACTCTTTCAGCCCCCTGAGAACTTGTGTCCTAAAGCAGTGGTTTAAGCAAACCACTCGGTCTTGCCTCAAATAAGGTTTACAATCCACTGTGCTGTCAAATACAGCATTAACGATTAATTCTTGCTGCCATGTAAGCGATACTAGAAAGCTGAAAGGCCAGGTGAGCATCTGGATAGAAACAATTTTATGTGTTGAAGTAATACAGCCTTTCAGTATAGAACTTGTGTCCTAAAGCAGTGGTTTAAGCAAACCACTCGGTCTTGCCTCAAATAAGGTTTACAATCCACTGTGCTGTCAAATACAGCATTAACGATTAATTCTTGCTGCCATGTAAGCGATACTAGAAAGCTGAAAGGCCAGGTGAGCATCTGGATAGAAACAATTTTATGTGTTGAAGTAATACAGCCTTTCAGTATAAATATTTAACACTTTGAAAGTAAGAGAATATAATGACTCTTGAGAGGCACAGGAAGTCCCCAGGTAGGAAATGGTATCTTGCACCTATTCATTCCCAACATACAGCACAAGTTGTTGATAGTGTATCTAAGAAGCTCTAGACTTTTGTAGATAGTTTTACATTTAATAGCCACATTTTAAACTCAGCTATTGCATGATCTTCTATTTTGCTTGTGCCAATGACGTGTCAGGAATTTTCTACTCCTTGTTAAGGATGCAGCCGAGAAGCACACCAGCCACAACATTACCCAGGATGAATGCTGGCAAACAGACTACCAGGGGAGGAAAACCTGATTGCCAAACCCTAGTGCATTATGAACCCCGGAACTACTGCCTGTGCGTCAGTCCTAAGCAGCATTCTCACTAGAGATCAGTTGCCAGCAGCTGTCCATCATACTGCTGAGCCTTGTTTTTAAAAGCACCTCGTTATTTCTGTGGGCCTATGGCAGGAAAAAACCAATAGCTGAGGAAGAATGCTCTCATTGTCGTTACAGCCAGGGCTTGCTTGTTGTACAAGCAAGCAAGCGTTGATATTCCCAAAATACTCAAGTCTGCTCCCTCTAGCCATGTCATGGTTACAGAATGTAGCGCAAGTCTGTATGCTGTCCTTGGGTTTGAGAGGACTCGCCTTGCTCTCCAGAGGCCGGTAGCACAGTACCAGCGATGTGTGGCGATGAGGTTTTGTACAGAAGGTGGGTGAGATGGTTAAGAAATGAATGAGACTGCTGCAAGCGTAGCTGAAGGCAGAAGGAAGATAGAAAACAACGTTGCACCAGAACACTGAGGTACTATCCAGTGAAATGGTATTTCTTTGTTGCAGCAGTTGGTTTGCTTACAGCAAAAGCTTAGAACGACACCTGACCATTCAGTGTATGACCTCACGTTTACTGTATGAGCTTTCAGAGCTGAACTTTGTTCCCATGTTTTCTGCTTTATGAAGTAGCCGGAGCACCCTCTAGGTAAGGCCAAAGTAAGGATGATTGTGAAGTATGTGTTCAGGCGTTGTGGCTCTGAATTGTTTCAAGACGAAAGGTTTTAACTACTTGGTTGGCTACTTCTATCATAAACTCTAAGTTAGACCTTCTATTTTGAAAGAATATAGATGAAAATAAAGAAGATGGTGGTGCTGTAACTTCTCTTCATCAGTACCTACTCAGATCTCAGTGTGTACTTTAAGAAATGATGGTTTGTGTTCCCTCTCACAAGCTTACTGGGATTCAATCCCTGGCTTCTTAAATAGTAACAGGTATTTTATGTAAGGCGGTGTCCGGAGCAACCCACTCCACAGGAAATGATCCCATGCACTACTCAGCGTGCTACGCTGCTGTGTACGTGGGTGGAAAACTGCCTACTGGCATTCTCTCGTCCGTCTGCTTTGGGATGGATGCAGAGTAATGCCACAGCACTGCTGTCTACAGCAGGACCATAGCTGCCCTGGGTCAGTGTCAGGCACAGGAATGGATAGCTAAATTCATACCTAGTCCCCGGGGGGTGCTTAGATTAGCGCAGATTCTCAAATCTTGGGATTAAAATCCGAGTACCCGATTCCGTGAAGCATGCACCATCCATGTATTTACCACCACATACAGAAACGGGCGATATGTAGATAAATCATGGTCTTCCATGCTGAAGTCAAAACTGTACAGTCTTTAAGCTACTTAAGTCAGCCTTTTCCATCTTGACACTTTTGCATCTCAGAAGATTTAGTTATCATGGACCAAGTTGCAATAAATACAGTGAAGAACCTCAAGGTTTTCCTGTTGGCTCTCTAGCCTTTCCCCTGCAGCCTCAACCTCTTAAAACCAACCCAAAATCTCCATAGTCGCATACCTCCTGCCTGAAAGGTTCCAGGTACCGTTCAGGTATTTTTAAGGCTTCCTAGTGAAGTTTTTGTAACAACAGGTAAAAAAGTTACTCAGTTAATGACATTTCAATGTTTAATTGAAAGGTACAGATCTTTGAGACATGACAGTTCCAATTGGATGCTTTCCAGAGGCCAGCCGAATGCCAAGATAGCGCTGGCAAAAGCGAAACGGTTGGGTGTGGTGTGATTGCCCCCTGGGTTCATGAGAAGGCTTGATTTGTCCAGTATAGAGCTTTGGTACTAAGTGTTCTGCCAAAAGTGTAACTGGTTTGAGATGCAAAGGATGGTTTGCCCCTCAGCTATTACCCTAAAGGGGAAAGGGTTGGTTGGCCAACCTCTAAGCCCACGCTACATTCAAAACATGCTGATCTTTCCTTCTCGACTAAGTCGGTTAGTAACGGCCTATCGCCACCAGCCTCAGCTCCACCAAGATGCCGGATTCAAGAGGCCATTAGTAACATTCCCCCAACACCTCTCTCCATCTTACATACAATAATACATTCTTATTCACTTCCTTGTTAGCACCAGAAGCAGGATATGCCTCAAGTACTCATCTGGCCTTCAGGCAAACACAGCTGTACTGTACAACCTTACCATCAAAGAGATCAGAGTTGAAGCTATCTTCCGAGCTTCTCCACTAGACTGCTCCTATGTACAGGCCAAGATGGGGCATTAGCCCTGCTGTAAATATGCACTTGTGAAGCCTCAGTATTGTACAGTGAGACTTTGGAAAACTGATGTCAAATTTGGGGCAGGTGACTCTGTACTTCACCTCTGCCTTCATTAGGCTTCGTGAAGATTTTGCACTCTATGAAATAACTTGTCACCTTGGTAAACCACACCTCTGACCAAACGCTGAAGTTACTGGTGCTGTGTTAGTGACTCCCCTTTACAAAGCAATGAACTAAGGTTTCCCTGCTCTCCTGCTCTAGCTACCTGATGTGTTCAATGGGTGTCACGTAGCCTGGTTTTCACTGCGTGCCTAGGGTAGAAGGCCAGTGCCCTGCCCAGCAGGAACATGCGGACACATGACGCTGCCCCAACAGCATGTCAGGGGACTGACAGGCATTTGCTATTGTCATCACTATTGAGGGGGATTAGTCTTTCGTTTGACTGACACTGCAGCACTGTGCTGCTGCACATGAGGTTTTCCTAATCTTTGAAAAGTGAACCAGATTTTTGAAGTGACGTATATAATTCAGCACCTGCAGTCACAGTAAACCAAGGTTAGACTACACAAGCTGCTCTACATAAGGTGTTAAAACACCTTGTGTCAGTATTGTGGTTATTTCACTGAACAGTAAACAGTCTAACAAAAAAGACTGAAAACTGACACTGAATATTGTTGTAATCATCATGAAAAGAACTTATTGGCTGGAAGGATCTTTAGTCTGAAATGCTACATATTCTTTCCATGAGTTGAGTTCTTCATTATTAAGATCATGTTTCAGACTTTGTTTCTCAAATATTCATGTGTCTGTTGCCAAGGTCATAGGATGGTTATTTCCTCATCTTATTGTACTCCTGTAAAAAAAAAAAAAATCCACCATGAGCAGTCAACTGAAGGGCTTTCTGTAAGAGCCAAACAAAGCATCAGACTTCAAGACAACAGCAAAACAGCTGTTACAGACAATATGTAGCCTTTGGAATGAAAGTGTAGATAAGGAAGTAGTTCACCATTTCTACAGAGTAAAAAACCCAGTAATACGAGTAACTGAATGACAGTTTGTAGACTTCACTAAACAGAGAGTTACACAAGTAAAACTGTATAAAAAGGAGGATAGTTTAAGTGAACAATAACAAGAATCTCATTCTAACAGGCAACTGTTTCCTCTTAGCCAATTCCTTTTAGGATAGGAGCAAGCCAAGTTTTTTCTTGGCCTTTTAATCAGTTTTACTCCACATTTTTGTGAGGTTCCAGTGTGTGTAGAACACAATTCTGCCCCCAGAGCACACCATAGGATCAATACTTTTTCCAGTGTTCACTTATTAGGATGCCACTTTGTTAGGCACAGCAGTGGCTTAAGCATGAACACAGACCAGTCTCTAGGACAGGCCTACTATGTTTGCGCTGCACGTCAAGAGGTTACTGGTATAGCGTAAGAAACCTGGAGGTAGGTAACAGCTAATTACTTGTACTTTACCAGAAGTTGATTTTACAAGGAGTTACCTGCTATGAGCTGGTCTCTGGAATTGTAGGGAGGTGCGTTATTCTGTAGTAGCTATGTTTGAGCTGCCGTGCTGTACGTCCAGA